GTGTCCAGAGGGAGCAGCACAGGGAGGCACAAAGGGATGGATGCATGGACAGCACCCCAGGCATTCAGCTGCCCTGAGGACATCATGCTGCCGGCCTCTGCTTGGTTGTGGACGCCTTCTGAGGCCAATAAAAGATGACAATTTTCCTCCAGTGCTTGTCTGTGCGTGGTTCATCTCAGGAGAAAGATGGATGCAGGCAAGGCCCATGCTGGCAGGCAGAGCTGGAGAGCCCCCCTGCTCCCTCTTGTCCAGGCTGAGCAGAGCCCATGCCCTCGGCCTCTGCCTGTGCCTCTGGCGCTCCAGCTCCCAACCAGCTGGGACCTCCGCTGGCCTCGCTCCACAGTGCCCATGTCTGCCTGGACCCTGGCAGCCCCAGCCCGCATCCAGTGCCCAGGCACAGCCTCCCCTGGGCCCAGCGGTGCAGGAACAGCCCTTCCCCGTCATGCCACCTGCACCCTTGCTAGCACAGCCTGGGCTGCAGGACTGCCCTTGCTGCCTGGGCACACTGGCCACCCTTGCCCATCTTGACCTCCAGGGCCTTTCCTGCAGCCACTGCTGCTCTCCAGCCATCCGGCCCCACCTCCTGTGGGGCATCAGCCCATCCCTGGGTCAGGCCTTGGTGCTTGCCTTTGCTGGACTTCCTAGTGTCCCCAGCAGCCCATTCCCCTGCCCTGGGCCAAGTCCCTCCCAGGAGCTGCCCAGCCTCCAGCACCACCACTGCCACACCCAGCACGGGGGGACCCCGCTGCCCGGGCTGTCAGCGTGATCCCCCACACGCTCCACCTCGGGAGAAAGGCACTGAAGAAGAGCAGCCCGCGAGTGATCTCCCCAGTAAGCAGCCACCAGCTGGGCTCGGGATGCTGCGTGCCACCACACCCAGAGCCCAACCCGCCAGGCAATGCACCACCCACCCCAGCACTGGTCACAGAGCCTCCCCTCTCTGCCCAGTCCCATGGCCGGGGGCAATCCCAAAGGGCCTCAAGCCTGTCTGGCACCACTGGCCCCAGGGAGAGCACAGCTGGCTTGTCCCTGTCCCCTGCTCCTCCAGCGTATCCCTGGGAACCATGTCTGGGAGTGTTTGTGCCAACACCTTCCCAGGGATGAGGCAGCCTGGAGGTTCTCCCACTGCTCCTCCTTGCCTCTCTGAAGATGGCTCTGGCAGTTGCTCAGATTGCCAGGAGCCCCCCCGCCAGATCAGCAGGCCCTTCCAGAGAGCAGAGCGTGGCTTTGCACTGGCACAGCACAGCTTCTCCCAGCCCTGGGATGCTCCCCAGCCGGTCACACAGCCATTAGGTAAACGGTTTAATTAATGTACTGAAAGGACCACTGCTGGCCCGAGCTGGAGTTCACCCGCTGCTCTGCTTGGCTGCCAGTCTCTTGTCTCTCTCTTCAGCAATGGTCAGGCGGATGCCCTTTCCACGGGGCAGGGAGATCCACGGCTTGTTGCCCTGCAGAAAGGGAGAAGCAGCCACTTCACACCATGAAACCTGGACAGGGGCAGAGCTCTCCCTCTCAAGAGGGAAAAGCAGCAGCAGTCAGCCCCTGCCCATGCTGGGCCACATACACATGGCTGTGGCATCAGCCCAGCAGAAGCCCCTCAGGAAGGTGCTGAAGGTGTACAGGCCTACATCTGCGTCTTTCGGTCACACCCATGACGAATGCACTTCAGCCAAAACTGAAACACGCTCCCCTTACCAACCTGGACAAAAGAGCCCATCAGGGATGGCGAGAGAACAGAGGTGTTGGGGGAGAGGGTGCTCTCAGTCAGAGCACCTGCCCAGGTCACATCAAGATCTGAGCACTGCTCAGCTCCAACTCTCAGGGGGGTTTACAAAACCACAGGGCTGCTTCTTGAAAATGCCCCCATTCCTAAACTTACAGACGCCTCCCCTTCCCAGAGCAGTCAGCCTGGAGTAGGCAGAACCACAGGGAGCAGAGCCAGAACTGATGCCAGCACTGGAGCTTCGCTGTGTGGGAAGGCAGGTGCCTACAGAAGACACCAACACCTCTTTGCTTCACCCAGCAGCCCCCAACAACAGGAGAGAACCCACCCGCCTTGTGTCCGCGCAGGCTTACTTTGCCAATAACGAAGATGTTGGAGAGCCTGGTGGCAAAGCTATTGCCGTTGGCGTCCTTCACGTGAACCACATCAAATGACCCAGGGTGTCTCTCCCGGTTGGTGATCACCCCAATACGACCCAAGTTGGCGCCGCCGGTCACCATGCACAGGTTACCTGGGGTGAAGGAAGATGGGTGTGACAAGAGCTGGTGCAAAGTGCCGTGGTGAAGCCCTTCCGCTTGGGCTCTTCGAGGAGCACTGCTGCAGAAGTGCAGGGACAGAGCCGCACTGGCCAGTGGAGCACCTGGTGACACCTATATCCCACAGGAACCCTGGCACACCTCGAGGAGCCAAACAGCTCTCTGGCCCCAAGGCCCGTACCAAACATTCCCCACCACCTTCAAAGTTGTTGTCAGCACCACAGAGGTGTTCCTGTATCACTTGTCCTGGCACTGCTCATGGCTCTGCAGCTGAAACCTTCTCCCACAGCAAAGAGCCAGGAATCTCCCCATGGCTGCCCAGAGCTTTCCGCTCATAGCCCCGCGAGAGCTGGGCTTAAGCAACCTCTCCACCAGCTCGCTGCTTCTACCTGGTGCCTGCTCGCTCTCAGAATCGCTACAAGTCCCTACACCAAACACCTCCCACTGCCAGCACATGGGAGGAATCCCTGCTCCAGCTCCAGGTGGAGATGCCTCAGGGAAACAGCCCCTTTCCCAAGGCTGCCACCACTGCCTCTCTACTTTAGAGCAAAGATGTCTGGTATTTGTATTTAACTTCCACGTTGCTCTCCACGGTGGGGAAGAGTGTAGTGTTCTACATAGGACGCAAGACCTACCTGTGTCAAACTTGATGAAATCTGTGATCTTGCCTGTCTCCAGGTCAATCTGGACTGTATCATTAACCTTGATGAGGGGGTCCGGATAGCGGATGGTGCGGGCATCATGGGTGACCAGATGAGGGATTCCTTTGGTGCCCACGAAGATCTTCCTCACCTTGCACAGCTTGTACTGCAAAGAAAACCCAACAGTGTTCAGCTGAGGCAGCGAGCGGCACCATGGACCAGGGGACTCTTGTCCCCAGAGAGCTGCCAGCCACAGCAGGCCTCGACCCCAAGCAAAACACCCAGACACTCCAGGGCTTGCAGCAGGAGCCAGGCAGCAACTTGCCCAGCTCACTGCCCCAGCCATCCCTCTCATCAGGGTGCCACACAGCTATGCTACAGCCCCACCGGAAAACACCTGCGCTTCGGGAACAGCTGCCCACGCCAGGGTTCGGCCTCCCCACAAACACTGGCTGCATTTTCCCAGGAAAGCATACACCAGGGCAGTTTCCTCATTTTGCCCTGAAGCCTGTGGTCACACAGCAGAGGCAGAGGCTGCCTTTCTTCAGGACCCAAGAGATCTGTACCCCTCCTCCAGGGGACCCTGGTCTCCCTCCTGCCTTTCAAGCCCAACCCCTTCACAGCCACTTTGGGACTCGTGTCAACGCAGAGTGGTAGCCAGAGGTAAAAGCGTACCATGGGAGGGCGGAGAGGTCCCAAATGCACACTACAGCTGGCTACTGCACAGCCAGCTCTCCCCTCAGCATCACTGCGTGCCCACACAGCCTGCCCTGAGGAAGGACACGTGAAGGGGAGCGCGGACTCGCAGCTCAGGCACGCCAACGTGCTTGGGTTAAGGAAACATGTGCAGGAGTTGCTCCCCGACACCCAGGGCCAGAGGGCAGTTTTGTAAACACTTCTATTACAGACCTGGGAAGGAGTTCAAGGCCTTTGCACCACAGGCAGTACCCTGTTTCTGATCACTGTTAGCTTGCAGAGCCCTACACTAAGGCTCACCATGCCACAGCAGAGCCACCCCCACCCCAAAGCTCCCTGCGAAGGTAACCCAGCCCATGCCAACAGCGGTCATTTCAAGCACCAGACAATGCACCTGCAGTCATCTGGGAGTTGCTCTCACGTCACCCAAAGATTTCCCCCGCCAAAGGCTTTGGACCCCAATCCTGAAGACCCTGATCTCAAGGGTGGCATGGACTCAGCTTTCGGGGAAAAAAGCCCGTTCAGGAGATGCCAAAGAGGAAACATCACCCTGATCAAATCCAACTGGGCCCACGCTCACACCAAGCTGAAGCTCCTCACCTTGGCCTCTTCAGCTGTGATGCGGTGAACAGCAAATCGGCCCTTAGTATCATACACCAAGCGGAAATGCTCGCCTGTCTTCTCAATGCTGATGACATCTGATTTCAGAGATGAAAATAAAAGAGCAGCTGTTATCAGCTATGTTACCCAACACCTCAGCACAAAGCTCACATTTAAAAAGAACCAGGGACTACTGAACAACGCTTCAGGCGTGAATGATGAGGTCAGTATCTCCTCTTGACCACATGCTCACATCTTTTACTGTGATACAGTGCAAATTAGCAAAAACTGCCAAAGGCTGAAGTCTGAACAGCAATTTATGCATATGCAAGCAGGCAGTTACAGGCTACAGATGTCTGGCTTTGGTATGCATTGCAGTGCGTAACTCCAAACTAAATAACAACTGCTTACACTTATCTTTCCTTCAACTCCACCGGGGAAGCACCTTTCCCCCCAAATCGTGCCAGCCTCACAAAACAACCCCCCGCCCAGTGCAGCAGAGCTGCCTAAGGTACCTGCCCCAGCCCCCCCCGCTCACCCATGAAGCCCGCAGGGTAGGTGATGTCTGTGCGGACTTTGCCATCTATCTTGATGAACCTCTGCATGCAGATCTTCTTGACCTCATCTCCTGTCAGAGCATACTTCAGCCTGTTCCGCAAGAAGATGATGAGCGGAAGGCACTCCCTCAGCTTGTGAGGGCCTGTCGATGGACGGGGTGCCTGCAAATAGAAGCTTTCTGCTGGGCGCTCAAGCACAACAGCAGCATCGACTGTCCCCAGGAGAAAAATGCTACTGCCCCAACAGCTCTCGCAGCAGCACCCGAGGACAGCTGCGTGGAGCCTAACTGCTAAGCAGGCAGT